ATATTTTTTCTCCCATTATTATCACCCATATTTATCACCCATTTATCACCCATTTATTATCACCCATATTTATCACCCATTTATTATCACCCATTATTTTTTTTTGTTTGTTTGTTTTTTGTTTTTTTAAGACAATTGTAGAAGATGAAACACCCATTATTATCACCCATATTTTTACCAATGAGGAAACTGAGGCACTGAGAGATTATTGGCTCAAAGCAACACAGGAAGTGACATGACTGGGCTTCAAAGTTATATAGTCTGGTTTGAGAATCTAGAATCTTCATTATTACTCCTGCCAGCCTCATTAAGCAAGCATCCCTGACTATTGTAGGTAAAAAAATACTGTATTCTTTTCTAAGACAAACACACAGACTTGCTACTGTATTTGTTTAGATTCCACTTTCCTGGAGCCCAGCTTAGCTTTGACATTTCCAGACACGGTTTAGCTTTCATCTTCTGCAAGAGTAAAAGTAACTTGGTATTTAGTTTACCTGCAAAAGGGAGGGAGGGAGCCCTAGGGGAAACTAATTAAAATGCAGCACTTTTCCAAGGCACCTGTATCGTGCTGTGTTGCCATAGAAACAGGGAATTTCTGGTTGCGACCTTTGAGTGAATCTGAGGATACTTTTCCTAAGGTTCCTAAGAGAAGCCACCCCAGTATGTCAACTTATAGTGGAAGGATCAACATTTTGAAATGCCCTATGTAATCCTATCTGATTTTAGAACTAAACTATATTAGCAAAACTTACCAGAGGCTCAAACTAGGGCTTTTCGAAGGAATGTGTTTAACTGCTTCCAATATAGGATTTAAAATCATTAAAGAAATTGTAGTAGCAGTAAAAACATGAAAGGAAATCATAGATAATTATACAAGAAACATTGGAACTACAATCATAGTTAGAAAGTTTTAATGTTATATCTATTCTATTGCATTTTAGGTTCTTCAATTCTATGCTTACTTGAGAAATAAAATATATAATTTCTGCATCAAAAAAATACACCTAGAAAGCCAAAGCTTATTATAAAATATTAAGGTACAAATGTTATTTATACCCACAGATTCTTAATTCTTGCCCTTTATTGTTTAATCTGTTTATAAATGCAGTCATTAAGTTATTAAATATATATATATAATTGAAAATCCTAGTTATACCTTAATTTGTATTTTTCTTTGGCAATTTGACAGAAACCAAGTTCCCATGATTCAACAGGGAAAATGACAGTCTGCCTTCCTATAGACTACTGCTATTATTATTATTATGTCAACATATTGATTTTCTACTGAAAATAAATTACTTAATTCTATAATCAAAATAAGCATAGTTTAGTTACAAGGAAATAGGTATCGGATGCTGACGATTTTTTCCTAGAACTAGAAATATATCCCTCTATATATAATATCACTTATTCCAGACATAGACACCTAAAGGAAAATAGAAATACATTAATAATTATATTTAGAGAGTACGACTACTACCCCATTCCCCAGACTGCTGGAAGTTTCTCTCACATGGTTGTATATCCTCACTCTGAGAGCCTATGAGCCAAAAGCACAGATTATGGTGCTACATTGATGAAAAAAACTCCTTGATCTGCCAACAGCTGGGTGACCATGAGAATTAACTTAGTTGATGGGTGTCTCCGTTTGCTCATGTATAAAACTAGAATAATAATGGGGCCTCTTGGAGTGGTTTCGAGAATTAAATGACTTTATATGGATTAATCACATCTATACTTGACACAATAATTTTTTTAGAAAAGTATATCCAATTTCAGGGACAGAGATGGGATGAAAATGCCAGTCCTGTTGCACTCCTGACCTGCCCAAGACAGCAAGAACAAAGTAGGACGAACTCATCCCAGATAAAAGCAGAGTGTCATTAGCGTGGTGGACAGGGACAGTCTGTCAAGTTTGCAGTTAGAAAGATGTTTTTCTCCCTCAGTATGGACTTCGACAGCACTAACTCTGAGAATTAATGGTTGGCTTTGCGCTGTATGAGTTTGTATGTGGATATGTGAGAATAAAAAACTGTTTTCCTTTTATACTGTCACTCATGTCACTCAATATTTCTAGAACACTTCACTTCTGACACCAGATGTGTGTGGTTTTTTCCCCTATACCAAACAATTCTCCAATTCTCTATGCAAACCAGCTGGGCGTCCCATTATTCAAATCAGACACTATCTACCTGGAGTGAGACCAACCTATAAAGGCTCAGTCCCACAAGACTGCTCCTCCACTAAAGAGGCCAATCACAAGTGATGGGTCCTAAGGTGGCCCACAACTTTTGTCAGAAATGGCTGTCCATCCAAGGTACCCATGACCCTCTCCTCAGGTTTGGTTTTAATAAACTTGTCACAGTGGTTTATAGAACTGATGAAAAAAGTTTGCTTACTCATTACCAGTTGGGGTTTTTTTTTGTTTGGTTTTTTGAGACAGAGTCTTGCTCTGTTGCCTGGGCTAGAGTGCTGTGGCATCAGCCTCGCTCACAGCAACCTCCAACTCCTGGGCTCAGGCAATCCTCCTGCCTCAGCCTCCCGAGTAGGTGGGACTACAGGCATGCACCACCATGCCCGGCTAATTATATATATATATATATTTAGTTTGCAAATTAATTTCTTCGGTCTCGCTCTTGCTCAGGCTGGTTTCCAACTCCTGACCTTGAACAATCCTCCTACCTCAGCCTCCCAGAGTGCTAGGATTACAGCCACCATGCCTGGCCTGATTACCAGTTTTTTATAAAAAGGCACAAGTTAGGACCAGCCAGGTGGAAGAAATGGACAGCACAAGATATAGGGGAGGAGTGTGGAACCTTCTCTGGATATACCTCGAGCTTCCAGAACCTCCATGAGTTCACCTAGTCTGAATTGCTCCAAACCCTGTCTTTTAAAGATTTTTATGGAAGCTTCTTCATGTGAGCAGGATCAATTATCAACTCAATCTCCAGCTCCACTCCTCTCCCTTGCCCAGAGGATGGGGGTGGGGCTGAAAATTCCAAGCTTCTAATCCCTGCAGCTGGACCTTTCCAGTGACCAGAGCCCACCCAGGAACCCACAAAGAGTCACCTGATTGGAACAGAAGATGCTCCTAACACGCAGGAAGTTCCAAGGGATTTAGGAGCTCTGTGTCAGTAGCCAGAGTCCAAGATCAAATATTAGAGCAAAAGATGACCCTACCTACTTACTGCTAGGGAAATTGCAAGGATTTTAGAAGATCTTTGCCAGGAACTGGGGACAGAAACCAAATATATGTATTTCTTATTATTATGTCTCAAATAGCTACTTACTGGACGAACCAGAAAGATGAGGGGGAAACATACTTGCATCTCCCATTGGTGGAGAGATTTTGGAAAAGATCCCAACATTTCCAAGCGAAACCACACATTGGGTTGGTGTGCCGTCATTTGTGTGCCAAAGCCCTCCTTGAACTTTTAGGTAAAGCCCCCGATGGAGTCATTTGAGGCTGAATAACTCAGACTCGGGTGAACATACATCTGCATAATAAACCCAGGACCAGGCTTAAGTTCATGGTCACAACTTTTCTAATTTCAAAGTGTTCTTGATCACTGCTGCCAATTCTACTGTTCTCTTCTTTATTTTAATACTAATACTTTTTATTTTTTAAAATATGACACTTGAGGTAGATTTAAACTATACCCTAACTATCATTTTCTAACCTGCCTTGAAATATATTGTTCAATGATAATCCTATACTTGCTTAAATATAACAAATAAAACAAGAGACTTACCACTTGTCTGTAGTGCAAGACAACACACAGCTTAGCACTCTGTAGTAGTCTCTTTCCAATTAGGCAAAAAAAGGAAGTTTCGATGGTGACCATCCTTATAGTCACTCATTCTTCCTTTCTTCCTTGCCAATGCCTGATATACATCACATTATTCACGAGTACATATAAACCGCCAACACTTCTAGAACGTTCTTTCTTGAAATTATACCTGTTGACTTTTAAAAGTGACTATACCATTTTTTTCCTGAATAATTAAAAAAACTAAGACTAATTTTTCAGTTAATTTATATAGGGTTTTTCACAGTCAGGTTTATTGTCAGCACGCATGGGGAGTGATGGATTTTCCGTAAAGAGAAAAAAAAATCTTTCCTAAAGAAAGAAGCATTCTAGAATTAATGTATTTAGCAAAATTTTAAAAAGTCCACGAGATTTCTGCAAATCTAGAGAATTGGCATTTCTTAAGTTGATTCCCTAGCAGTTCCAGAGATGTTTTAAGTTATTTCCTGGAGAAGAATATTTCTGATTATTATTTTTTTTAAAAAAAAAAAGGGGTGGGGGAATGATGAGTTAAACAAAGTTAACCAGCTTGTCTCAGAGCCTTTATGTGCTAAGTGTCTTATGAGTATCTAAAGAGAATGTAGTCGAAATCATCTTTTACACTTCTTAGTTCCATATTACCCACTTTTACAGTATAGCCTCTTTTTTTTTTTTTTTTTTTTTTAAACAGTCTCACTCTGTTACCCAGGCTGGAGTGCCATGCATGGCATCAGCCTAGCTCACAGCAACCTCAAACTCTGGGCTCAAGCGATCCTCCTGCCTCAGCCTCCAGAGTAGCTGGGACTACAGGCATGCCCCACCATGCCCAGCTAATTTTTCTATATATTTTTAGTTGGTCAATTAATTTCTTTCTATTTTTAGTAGAGATGGGGTCTCGCTCTTGCTCAGCCTGGTTTCGAACTCCTGACCTTGAGCGATTCTCCCGCCTCAGTCTACCAGAGTCCACTGCGCCCAGCGTGTAGTATAGCCTCTTAGGGCACCAGTGCATAGCAAGACACACTTTCAACAGTGTTCAGGAAATTCACAGAGTGTAGGGTCAAGAGTCTATCTCTTCTAACTCCTGTAAAGTTGCTCCTTCTTCAAATGGCTGTTAAGAACTTTATATTTAAGTTCATCGTGTCAGTCTTCATTTCCATATTGTTTATAAGCATGATATCAATATTAAAATGAGATGGGATAAAAATCAAATAGTTTCGTAATGAGATAACATTTTATTTTAATTTTCACCATTTATATACAAACACAAGTTAATAAAACACATCACAAAGCAGTAAAACTTCATAGTTCATATTTATAGGTGCATAGTTTCATGCTCTTTTTAAACTATTATATGTATTAACAAATTTCACAATACGTCATTATTCTCGGACAGAAAGAATCATTAAAAGACACCTAAAAATCTTGTAATATAGGATAATAAATCACAACTTCTCAACAACAGCAACCAAAAAAAAAAAATAGTGAAGATTTAGAAATAAGTGGTAGTCACTTAGGTGTTTTTTAATTGGTTTTAACATTTTAGGTTTGAAGCCACAAGATCCACAGCACACAAGGACCTGCTACCAGGTATTCGCGTCAGCGAGAGGGGAGCACCGGAGTGGTGGGCGGGGGCAGGTATGGATAGTTCAATCACTGCTGATGGAAGACTTCAAAACACACTGTAAGAACTTTGAGCAAATGTCATGACTGGGCACATTGGAACTGAGCACTTGTACAGGATGGAACGTCTGTCAGAAGATCTCAAGAAACAGGGAGCAAAGATATTTCTTAGGCTTCAGGTTCATAGTCTTGATACCCTTCCTAGTATTAGGAAAATCAAAAAGACAGCACGCGGGGTTAGTGTGAGTGGTCCGCCGTCAGGAATTACAGCAAATGAGATAGAGGTGGCTTGCCACTTTGAATACAATGCATACTCACAGCAGTCCTGCAACTATTATGCTACAAACAAACATAGTCTTATTTTTAATAGTTTTGTCTTACCTGTCAGAGACAAAAGTGAATTACAGTAATAGAGTAACTAGGTTCTACTTCCAGATGTGCTATTTACAATCACGTACCTAATTCCATGGGACAAATTAGTTGGCCTATCTGGCTCTCACTTTCCTCAACTGTAAAATGTGTAAACAAAGTCAAGTGGCCTATTAAGCCACGGAGATGCTCTAATTCTTGGAAGGAAATTAAGGCATTTAAAGGTAAGGTACATTTGCTCTCCTCTCAGTCTCTCAACTGGAAATTTCATCTTCATTCGTGGCTTCAATTTTAATTTTTATTTCAAACCCCAAGCCCCTCCCCCATACAATAACTGATAACATTCACAGTAAAAATATTAACTAATTTAACTAAAGGGGTCAGATTAGCCCAGGCAACAAAGCAAGACGCTGTCTCAAAAAAAAATTTTTTTTTTAGTGTGTCTTTTCACAATATGATCCTTAATACCAGGAAATTAAGCTTGATACCATGCCATTCAGGTTTTTCCTGTTGCCCCATAAGGTCCTTTATAGCAAAAGTTTCCAGTTCAGCATCATGTGTGACATGACTTCTAAATATGATAAGCCAGTTACTTTGTAAAATGTTCCTCAACTTGAGTTTGTCTGGTGTTTCTTCACTTTGCATTCCTTTCATTGCATCCTATCAGGTGGTGCATGATTTCGTTTCTCCTATTACTTTGATGACTAAGAGAATATCTGCTGGCTTTCCCTACTGTGAAGTTATTATTTTTGCTTTTGTAATTAACTAATTAACTAGTTTTTTTTTTTTGATGAAGGTATTTTTGAAAGTAAATAACCCATTTTTGAAAGTAAATAACCCACAGATATCCCATTTTTGAAAGTAAATAACCCATAAATGATCCATTTTTGAAAGGAAACAACCCATAAATAACCCAACCCAGGCTGGGCATGGTGGCTTCCTAATGAACAACTCTAATAATATCAGTAGTCTGTTTAAAAATAAACAAACATACCTTCAATAACCCAAGTTGCTTTCATAGTAAAGTACAAACTGGAGATGGTAAGGTTATCCTGGTACTCTCCAATCTGCCTTTGGCTCATCTCTGGAACTTTAATCTTCTCTTTGTTCCCTAAGCTTGAATCATAATAACTCACAGTTCCTCAGACATGCCCATATGTATTCTCTCACACGTATGCCTTTGCTTCTGATATGTCCTTGTGCTAGAATGTTCTCCCTTCATTCTCATCTACCATATTTCCAACCCTCTCCCACCCAGATCGACACCACTTCCTCAATAAAACTCCTGAATGATCTAAACAGATTCTTTAAAATGTTATACTTTTTAGTGTATCTTGTATATTTTTGTCCCTGTGATGCCTGGTATATAGAAAACAGTAAATAATGTTTGTTAAAGGAATCATAATGAATAAATGAAGAAATGAATTTCTATATTTGTTTCATCAAACCTACTAGAGTGTAAACGTCTTGTGTCCCAGTATGATCAATGATTCTTCTTTGTATTTTCTAAAGTGTTTAGCACTGTGCGTTGCATAAAAAGACCCAACAATATTCATAAAATTTTATTAGGCAAATAAATAATATAATCCTATAAATAGGATTATTATCAATATGCCTTTAACAATGCCATTAAGAATAATATACAACATAACTACAACACATTTGAACTCAATTTTTAATGAAACAATAATACATTTTCTTTTCTCCTGATATCTTTGGTTTTGATATCAGGGTAATATATTGATCTCACAGAATTATTTAGAAAATGCTCCCTCCTCTTTTAATTTTCATAAGAGGAACTAATTGGCATTAATTCTAATTAATTGGTATTAATTCTTCTTTAAATGTTTGCTAAAATGCACCAGTAAAGCCAGGTGGGCCTGAAATTTTCTTTGTGGGTAGTTTTTTGCTTGCTAATTTAATCTCTTTACTGTGTTATAAATCCAATCAAATCTATTATTTCTTCTTGAGTCAGTTTTATTCATCTAAAAGTATTTTCTAACTTCCCTTTTGATATACTTTTTACTAACGACGTTTTTATTTTCACACAAAATAAAATTAACAAAATAATTATGCTCCTTAAAATGCTAGACTGAAAGATACCAATTGTGGCAAATCATGCATTTTTCCTTCTACTCTGTAACTTTTGCAGGGAACTTTTACTTGCAATCATCTCTCTGGAAATGTAGGGCAATGTATAATTATCTTCCTTTGACGTTCAGTTGATTTCTCTAACTTTCCATTTCGGAATTTATTTCAGAGTATAAGGTTTCTGATAAAATAATTCTCTAATGCAAGAGTTTGTAAACTTTTTTTCTATAGTCAAGGGTCCAGTAGTGAATATTTTAAGTTGTGTGGACCACATATGGTCTCTGCCACAAAGCATCATCATTCTCCTCTTCCTTCTTCTTTCCAAACCCTTTACAGATGTGTTATAAAAAACATTCTTAGCTTGCGAGTTGTTCCACACAATCCATATCCTGGATTTGGCCAACTTGTGCATGCAGAAAGCAAATGTTTCTCAATAAAGACTAAGGCAAGAGAAATCTGTAAGGGACAGAGTTTGGGTACCATCTATTAGAAAGACCCAACTTGAACTTCTACACTTTATTTTTGGAGCTTTATGTACATAAACTGTTACCTCAGAAGGCATTTCGTAAGCCTCACTGTCGGGATCCATGGGCGAATCTTCCAGAATTCCTTCCTGGGGGGCGCCTTCTTCACTCTAATGCAAAAAAAAGAACATGATGAGGGACCATTTTTTCACTTTTTAAAAGCACAAACCTATTTTGGAAAAATCTTATATAAATGTAGATAGGAATGTTGTAAAAATGGCACAACGTCATGGAGGAGGCCAGGAAATACCAACCAGCAAAAGGGGCAAGATGCTTGGAACCGAGGAGCTTATTAGCAGGAGTGTGTGCCAGGCACCAAGAGCAGATGGAGCCAGCAAACAAAGCCATGACACTGGATCAAGAAAGAGATGAAGCCAGAGGATCCCCCAAATCCAGCGGCTGAAATAGGAGATCAGAAGATGTGCACTTGAAAATGAAGGACGCAGTGCCCAGGCGCTCAATAGTAGGGCATCCAAGACAAGTATTATAGAGCAATGAAATGATCCGAAATAGTGGCTTGTTTTCACCATTTATCCCAGTCATTTTTTTTTTTTAGTTTTGCTGTGCAGTACTTCTTGGTTCCTAACTGACACAGGACACCTTGCAATCTGAGACTACAGAACTTAACTTCTATTCCACAATCCCCCAAGGATTTCAGTGGAGGAGATGGAAGGCAGTTGTCATTATGAATATGCTAAATATTCAAAACCACCCTTCCTCTCTTCTCCTTGGTCTTTGAAAAACCAAGAATGTTTATAATACAATAATGAAATAAAAATAAAGTCATTCATCAATAATAAAAAAAAAAGGCACAACAATATTATTGCAGGCATTCTAAACCACTCAATGCCTTTTGGAAAACATTGTGGTAACACAGGTTGCTTATTAATCCTGAGAGTGTACAAAGTTTTCACCCAAGTAGTTCACTATCCAGGAAATAATCCAGAGCTGTGGTCCAAAGACATTTTTCACAAGATCAATGATAGCAGCGAAACAATCAACAAAATGTGTCCAATAGATGATGAAGAGTTAAAAAGATTATCATTCGACTACTCTATATTACTATAAAGATGTGTATTACTATGACATGAGAACTTATTTATGGTATAATGTTTAGCAGGATATAAAGTGTTGTATATATGGTGGGCACAGTCTATGTAGAATTCAGATGCAAAGGTAAAAACACTGGAAGAAAACACAACAAAATATGAAAATCATTTTGCTGGGTAGTTATGTACGTTACTTCTACTCTTTTTCTAGATTTTTAACTTATATAACCATTTACAGCGTAAAAAGCATGCATATTTTATAAATTATTTTCAAATGACAGCAAAGAAACAAATTCTTGTCTAAAATTTGAAGACTGAGACTATACATATTGGGGAAAGAAAAGCAAATATATTGCCAGATAATTTTTCTAGGCATCTTTTCTTAGAAATTCAGTACAACAAAAATTCAGCCTGAAATGGTCATGGCTTTACCAGTATTCTTCATTAAATACTTTGGTTGCTTTGCATGTATTCCTGCAAGGTAATTTTGAAAGGATGCAGTTCACTGAAAATTGAAAGCACAGAGAGGCAATGCAACGAAATGGACTTACTCAAAGAGATCGAATACTCCCTCAGCCAGTGTGGCTTATGTTTGACAATACGATGTGACTAAAGCCACCCCATGTCCTCATCCTGGGCGTGACTACAGATAGGCAGAGGGATAAGGAAATGGCTGACAGAGAGAAAGGTCAGACTTAACATCATGTGTATGGTAGCTGAACAGAGAAGCTTATAGATATTCTCCCTGCCCAGTGCCCTTTTTATAAACCAAAAAAAAAATTCCAAGTCATTTATAAGTTAAACAAAATATAAACAATCCCCAAACCACCTCACTTGTAAATATGAAGTAAAGGTATCACTTCCATAGCATTCCACTTCTTGGGCCAAGTCAAGGATACAAGCTCTGCCGTGTGGTGGCTGGTCACAAGGTCTGTGGTGTCACAAGACTCAAGCTCAAATTCTAGCTTCTCCAGATGACAGATCTTCTGTGATGGTGACAAGTTTCTTAGGCTTTCTGTAAGCATCAACTAGCCTCAGTGACAAAATGGGGCAGCAATACCTTCTTTATAACTGGGAGAAGCAAATGGCATTATTAACCCTCTCATTAATATTTAGATAACTATTAGTGATCGCCACATACGAAGAAAATAAGGCAAATTTCCTGTTTCCACGAATTTTGAAACTGACAAGTAGAGATTTAATTTTCTAATATAATTTGTTAGATTTTTGCTACAGAATGGACAAGCATATATGGTATTAACGGATCCGGCTCATTTGATGCTTGGTTATCACAAATGCATTGTTGCTCTATAGCTAAGACTGATGAATGTTACTGGTTTTGTGTATGCATGTGGATTTGGGTGTATCTGTGTGTGTCCTTCACCGTTCAGCCAAGAAACATTGACTGTTGCTTGCGAATTCTTTGGCTAAATTGATCATGTATTGATATCAACTGAAATCCCATCCCCATTAACTTGAAATGGATTCACTCAAGTGGTGAGTACAGAATGGCTGCTTATTTTAAAAAAAATACATGCATTGCTGAGCATGCATTTACCTAATTCTTTTAAAATTGCACTCTATTTATCTACAGGTTATAAAGTAAAATATGTATTACTTATTTTAAACTCAATACAGAGCATAAAATTGTACTCTTACGCATTGTGCTTGAAGTCCATTGGACTAATCTGTTCTTTTTGAGGCAATTATGTAGACAAAGTTGCAACATTATTAATAATAGTTAATAGGCTGGGTGTGGTGGCTCACCCCTATAATCCTAGCACTCTAGGAGGCTGAGGAAGGCGGATTGCTCGAGGTCAGGAGTTCAAAACCAGTCTGAGAAAGAGCGAGACCCCCGTTTCTACTATAAATAGAAAGAAATTAATTGGCCGACTAAAATATATATAGAAAAAATTAGCCGGGCATGGTGGCGCATGCCTGGGACTACCCAGCTACTCAGGAGGCTGAGGCAGAAGGATTGCTTGAGCCCAGGAGTTTAAGGTTGCCATGAGCTAGGCAGACGCCACGGCACTCACTCTAGCCTGGGCAACAAAGCGAGACTCTGTCTCAAAAAAAAAAAGTAATAGTTAATATAAAATATCTGACATATTATCATATAATATAAATATAATTTATAATACTACATCTAGTGAAATAGATGTAAAAGAGAATGGTTTAAGAGGAAGGGCAAAGCGTCAGCCTTGTACAGAGTGACAGGCCTGATACAGTCATGCCAACAAGTCTATAATTAGAGTATTTTGAATATTTTACACTGCTCTATGAATACAGCAGTATTTTATTAAGACATTCTGTTGGTCTGACATTGCAAGATAAAAAGTTGCAAATTTTGATGATGTTAGTGCCCATTGTGTTTTAGATTCTAGAGTCCGTCATTTTCTATCAACATTTTCTATTCACTTCTTGTACGAGGCATGCTTTAGGATGTGGGAACACACACGCAGAAATTAAAGTAGACCACTGACATCTCTGGTGCAACCTCCTGAGATCATCTTGACTCTCCTAATTAAAAAGTGCAACTGTAGCATATGATTTGCATCACAAATTTCCTATGTTGCAACAAGCAAAACCTAGCAGCAAGGCTGAGTGAAGACGCAGCTCCTGGGTGCTATGCTGGCTTCCTTATTGGCAAACGGACTTAGTCTCCCTCAGCTGTGTTATACGCCTACTCAGATTGTGTCTCAGCAAATGTACAAATTAGTATGTCATCAACTATCTGGGTCACTTGGGAATAGTCAAATTGGTGAATACTGTAAGTCACAGAGTAAACACGTTATACATAGTTCCTACCTGCAGGGAACCTTTTCAGATTAAAGAATGCAAATCTATACTAATTAAATGACTTTTCTAGAGAATCCCGTCTTGCATAGAAATAATATGTATTTAGAAGCCATTCACGCTCTACTTTGGATAATCTTGGCAATCTCTTCGAAAGGAAAGAAAGATAAAGGGAACAGATGAAATGAAAACTAGTTTATTTTACTGTTTTTAAAGGTTTGGGAGTGGAGGAGGGAGTGAAGCTATTATGCTATATGAAATATATTTGCGATTATTTTTGGATGCTAGTTATTAGTGTTAAACCTGAATCCAGTTTTAAATACATTCAACCATACATTAAAAAAAATAATTGGTGTATAAAGCAGGAATGAGTGTAAAATCATTAAGAAGAAATTTCATTATACAGCAAAGAGGTAGTATGCTATCTTAAATCTTCATCCTCCTTGGCAAATGTAACAGGCAGTACAGTGCCTGCTGTATTTATGATGTACCATGTAATTAGCTGACTCACCTAATAAGACTTCACAGCACCCAACAATTGCCAGCTTTTTTCCCCCCTGTTCCTTGGCTATAGGCCTGGTTGCAAATACTAACACATAATAGGAAATCTGGGAATAAACTATTTTCACCTCTCCTATCTAAGAATCGATCCTCTTCTTATATTGGTGAAAAAATATTATTATGTATCTTTAAGTCTATATTTACATTTGTTTGCTATTTTAAGCTTGCATGGAATGGATTCTTGATGATCAGCCCCTTTGGTGGGGAATGAAGAAGACATCAACAGAATTGCAAGTGGATTCAGCTGAGAACGGTCTGCTCTCTCGTGTTGAGCTCAGAATCGTTGAGTCATTTCATCTTTGCGAACGCATTGATATTTGGAGGCAAGTCCTAAAGCTAGCAGCTGGGTAAGAGATCAGCCTGGAGAACAGGCCCTGACAAAGTATGAGATAAGGAGTCTGCTTCTGTATTTTAGAGAAACCTACAGAATGCTTAAAAATTCTTAGAAAAGAGGAGATGTGCTGGGAAGATCTTAGTGAACCAAAGCTTTCAAAGATAAATGGAGGCCGGGCGAGGTGGCTCACGCCTGTAATCCTAGCTCTCTGGGAGGCCGAGGAGGGCGGATTGCTCGAGGTCAGGAGTTCGAAACCAGCCTGAGCAAGAGCGAGACCCCGTCTCTACTATAAATAGAAAGAAATTAATTGGCCAACTAATATAAAAAAAAAATTAGCCGGGCATGGTGGCGAATGCCTGTAGTCCCAGCT